GATTATAGCTTTTATCTATAATGCTCTGAAAAATTTGAGCATGTACCTCTAACTTTCCGTAGTTCCATCCGACAACACTTGGGAAACGTTGCCCTTTTTGTTTTGTTTTTTCTCTGGAAAACAAAAGAAGCTGCCACAAGCCAGTAAATTTGCTGAAGACTGGCGTACGGGAAACTTGTTGTCTGAGTCTGTTTGCATAGTCCAACCCGATTACTTCAGATACTTCAAATTCTTATTTCCAAAACACGGTTTTTGCCTATAACAAGGACAGCAAACTTAACCAACATTTGCAGTTCATTGTATTTTTATCTTTGATTTCTAGGTTACACTAAAATTTCTGTGCCAAGTTAAGAGCAATCAAGGCTAAGAAACCAAAACTTTGGGAATATGGTAGGCTTCCTGAATTCGAACTACCATTTTGTCGTATGGCACTATCTGACCGTAGGATTTAAAGTTCACACCCGACTAGACTACAGATGTAGGAATTTTTAGCTTTGTTCTGGAGTGTAATCTAAGGTGCATGGCCTTTTCGGTACCATTTTTTTAATAAATGACATCCAATAATTGTTACCAAAGAAAACAAGACCTCCTCAAGATCTACGTTCATCAAGATCTACGTTTTTTGGGTCGCCAACCTACAGCGATTGAGAAAACCTGAAATATGTGTGTGTAAAGAAAAAAGCAGTTTTTCAGGTGCATCGTCACGATGACAACTGTCGGCTATGGCGACTACTATCCTGAAACACTATGTAAATCTTTCTTTTTTGTTACTCGACTATAACGCTCTATATAATTTCAGTTTTCTTTCGGAACACTTCACTGTTTCTCAAATAATAGCTGTCCCTAAAAGAATAATTATCCATCAACTGGCAAGACTACTTCTGGGTTTTTCTTACTTTTTTCGAGTATCTCTTCAGAAACACATCGGAGACTGTTTGAATGATAACTACAATAATGTATGTTAAAATGTTCACGATCGAATTAGTGTCATAATTAATGTTGGATTTAGAAATTGCATGGAAGAAGAATTTGAGGTAATATGAGGTGAAAATGAAATTGTGTGGTTTTACTAACAAAATCAAAACCCCCTCAGTATTCGCTGTCCGTCAGAGGCGGAAAAACTCGGAAGTGTTCCGAAGTAGCTTTATTACAAGGAATTTTCAATGAGTGTCTGAAGCTAAGAAAATTTCTCTTTCTACATTTCCTTCCTTCATTGACCGAACAAGAAAATACTCGCATGTGGCAAAATTTGACCGAAATTTCTCACATACGACTTTTCGTCATCGAAACAAATGTACGAAACGCAGTGAGTCAAAAGGGCTATCAGGTTTCTTCTAAGCATTAAGAGGGAACGAGCTTTTGCTTTTGGCACGCGCTGCCACTTCAAGTGCTTTCAATGAGGTGCCTCCGCGTCTCAAAGAGAGTGGGTATGAACAGATTTTCAGCTGAAAGATTAATGATTACTCTTCATTGACAAATCGGGCATAACTCCAATAAGGAAAAAAAGAACGAGTTTTTTGCAGATAAATATAAACAGCAATGCGCACCAGACTAGCCGGTGCGATCATGCGTTTTGTGCGATTCAGCCCATCGAACGATTGC